GAAACTCCATAAATCTGCTACAGAGACGTTTGATATGATCAAGCAGGCTTACCCAGATGTTGTTTTAGCAAAAAGTATGTTTTCGGTGACGCCAGGCCAGGAAGAGGTCGCTGACGTAGACCGTGCGGAGAGGGAGCAAACGATGCTCATTGCCTTTTTTGACATCAAAGGCATCGTCCAAAATAAATTTGTTCCACTTGGACAAAACGTCCATGCCAAGTTTTACGTTTTTGAGTTTAGAGACTGAAACAAAGGGTCAATCGGGTCCGACAAGACGTCGCAGCCGATTGGAAGTTCACTACTAACTAGTAGTAACTGAGTAACTGAGACGTGTTCTCGAAGTCTAATATAGACAATATGCCAGAAATAATAAAATAACAAAAAGAACCATAAATTAAGTATAATTACCTACAAAAGAGAATTCTCTAAGCTTCTTGAAGCCCACAAGCCAATGAGTAAACTGTGTGACCAATTTCACTGATTATGTGCAGACGGGGTTTACATTTACTACTTTTACTTTCAACAAGAATTACTAATCCCGACAAAGTCAAAGTAAAATATACATAAGTATGTATGTATGTGTGCGTGGTACGCTTGGCTACACAATGAAATGCGATCTCGGACGCCTTCGCGCCGCATTGAAGTGTGTAATGCAGAGCACACTTGAGATAAGGATTTCAATTCACACTACCACACACATACTAACACTTACAAATATACATATATATATATATGGTATATATGTACATACTTATGTATGCATGAATATGTATATTATTTCACATGCATGCATGTACGTTTGGACAGCAAAACAAAGCGTTTAATGAGTCAACTAAATATTTATTTGCGCCTTTTTATGCTTCATAAAAAATATGAAATTGATAAAAATCGCTGTTGCTATTATTGTTGTTGTTTTTATCATAAAACTGCATGAAATCATGCTTTATTTCATTTTACAATCGTCTTCGCAAGCACTTAGTGTTGATGTGTGTGTTTATGATTGGTTTTATTATTGTTACTACATGCTTGCACCTAATCTACGAAGAATGTGTGAACAAGTGTGTATGAATGTGTGTTGGTTGGTGATGTTCTCTTTGTCTGCAACTAAATCGCCACTTTGTGTTATCAATGCAATAATAAAGTTTATGGTTGGTTTTCTTCGCTGTTTTGTACATATTTTTCTTGTATTTCTTTCTCATGTATTTATATACATACTCTACATACATACATACATACATATGTATACTTGTGTTAGATACAGTGGCGTATCTAAAACGAAATTTTGGGTGATTTCGGACCACCTTTTGTTAGTATTGGAAAATTTTGTGTTTTACACTCTGAGCAGAGGGTATTAAGTTTGCAAATACTTTCCCTGACTCGTATATGCTCTTCTTCTTTACTGGCGTAGACACCGCTTATGGAATTGTTACACGTAACGAGTACAGTGGCGAGACAGTATTCTGGCCGAGTATGATACTCGGTCGAGAGAGTTGCGTTGGCGAGTGGAGGTTTACACGTATTTTGTTCATCTAGTTAGACAGTGAAGTTTTTCAAAGTTTTATTTACAATGTTTGGTAGGAAAAGACATTTTAAAAGAGTTTTTAATGAAGTTCTACCGCATCTCATAAAAGAGTATTTACCATTCCAATTCTTTCATAATGCAAAATGCAATTGAAACTAAATAAACAACATAAAAATCGACCGAGTAGCGAGTGAATACCGAACGCGTGTTCACATGCAACGAGCGAGTCAGTGATTTGCTCAGAAGGGGCAAAAGAGTGAAGAAAAAAGAAGCACTCGGCCTAGTAAACAAAATGTGATTCTAGTGACTCTCTCGCCACTATACTCGCCCACTGACTCGGTTCATTACTCGCCTTACTGTTTAAACGAAACGAGTACTCGCCCGAGTCACTGTCTCGCCGCTCTACTCGCTACGTGTGATCAAGGCATTACGCGGTTATAACCGAGTTAACAATAGTGCGCTCGTCGTTTCTGCTTTTCGCAAATCGACGCCAATTGGAGATTCCAAACGAAGCCAGGTCTTTCTCCAACTGGTTTTTCCAAAGGAGTGGAAAGCTTCCCCTGGTGGCTACTGCGTCGAATACTTTCAGAGCTGTAGTGTTTTCGTCCATTCGTCCATAACGACCTAGCCAACGTAGCCGCTGCCTTTTAATTCGCTGAACCATGTCAATGTCGTCATATATCTCATACAGCTTATCGTTCCATCGAATGCGATATTCGCCGTGGGCAAAGCGCAAAGGACCATAAATCTTTCCCAGAACCTTCTCTCGACAACTCGTAACGTATACTCATCACTTGTTGACATCGTCCAAGTCTCTGCACCATATAACAAGCGGGAATAATGAGTGACTTATAGTTTGGTTTTTGTTCGTCAAGAGAGGATTTTGCTTCTCAATTACCTACTCAGTCCGAAGTAGCACTTGTTGGCAAGAGTTATTCTGCGTCGGATTTCCAGGCTGACATTGTTTTTGGTGTTTATGCTGGTTCCAAGATAGACGAAATTATCTACGACCTCAAAGATATGACTGTGAACTGTTGGTTTGATAACAAGAGATATTTTGTCTTGCCCTTGTTCACTATCAAACCCATTTGTTTCGCTTCCTTATGCATTCTGGTAGAAGCAGAACTAAAGGCGCGGTTGTTGAGGCTAATGATAGGATGTCATAGGCGTACGTTAGTAGTTGCACACTCTTATAAAAGATAGTACCTTCCCTATTTAGATATGCAGCTTGAATTATTTCATCCAAGAGCAGATTGAAGAAGTCGCATGAAAGGGAGTCGTCTTGTATGAAGCCCCGTTTAGCATCGAACGGCTCGGAGAGCTTTTGGTATTACTCAACGTGTAGATTGGATTGGGTGTTCCTAAATTGGATTGACAGTCTGTAAAAGGGGTTTGATATTGAAATTTAACGAGAAAACAGAGACTTTACTTACATCTTTACTCTTGGTTCGTTCCCTCTTCTTGGGACTAGCAATTTAAAAGACAGAGCTTACTTTGAATGCTAAAATTACCACTTCACAAGTCTTTCATCAAACCCTACCTAATGCACTAAAAATAAGAAAAAATTGGCAGCCTTCCTAAACATTATTTAATTAATTTTTTTTTTTGGAAAATAAAGAGGTAAGTAAGTGCTGCCTCTCCACATGGCTAGCCAAAATATGCTCCATACTGTCTCATAGTACGTTTTTCTGCTTAGGTTCTCGAGCGAATAAGATCTTCCAAAATGCTAAGTTTTTTCGACCAAAATTTACAGAGTTCATAATAAGCAGCAAGCCTCTCGGTAGGCAGATATTGTAACGGTAATCCTCGTATCGACTAACAGAGAAACATTTTTTTGAACTAATATATCGCGATAACGCTCGCGCCACGCCTAAAAATTGTCAAAATCGCTCTATAATTTTTTAAGTTCCCGAATAAATTATCAATCTGTATCAATTATCACAATATCACAAGCTTCAATTTATGACATCAAATAGTGGGTTATCATGGTATTATGTTATCACTATTTAAGAACCATATAGCGAAACGATGTCACTTCGGATGGTTGAGTTTAAGATATCGATGTAAAATGCGCCTAATCGTTGCAAAAGTCAGTGCGAGTTGTTGCAAACGGCGCCAGAACGACTGTCCACGGTCTTCACTCTCAGTTACGGCTGCTATATTATCTTTCTGGCGTGCTGGACGTTGTCTATTTTGTCGAATATTATCCGATAATAAATTTTAGGTCTCAAGATGGGCGATGGCGTTGCGAATAGTACACTCAGTAGGCCGATTATGAAGACCATACGTTGAGCGAAGCGGGTGAAATACATTCTTTACAGCACGTGAAATTTTGTAATAATGTTGAACTATTTGTAAACGGTTTTCAGGCGTAAGTCTTTAGATAATTAAATGCCAAACAATACTGAACAAAAATATCATGACAACTTCCCACCACTCAAACGTGATCTGACAAAAACAGGCTTTTGCAAAAAGTACCTGTACTTCGATCGCCTGTTAGTAATGAAATTCAGAGAGCGTGTTTTTCTGATAGCAGCGTTTTATTGGATCTAAAATAGATAAAATCGGGGCGATACCTGCGCTAGCCCTCAAATACCGCATACAAGAATTTCCGAATTTCTTGTTGACGTTTTACCATACGCAAAGTCTTAATTGTTTTAACGAACCTCAGAGAGGGACTTTTTTTTGGTAATATTTTAGTATTAAAGTATCCAAAATCACTACTCGTAAATTTTCTGACTCCGACTGTGCATATGTCTATATATATTTATATACGTATGTAAGCTAACACATCTACATATATATGTACATTTATTTGAACAATTTTTTAGATCATAAACATACCTAGCTACAAACGAATATATAAATATTTATAAACTTTTTATTGAGTAATTGTTTTTTATCCATTTGTAACACCTTGCTAAGACCGCCGTATATGTACATACATACATATGCATGTAACCCATTCTTAAGACCTTTTTTGATCCCGTCGCATTAATTATTGTGTACGTCGCCGTGTGGGGTTTCTGAAATTTCCATTTCATTATTATCGCAAACGATTTAAAATTCCTATTTGCGTATGTCATTGAAGAAAAAGTAAGGAAAATGAGACAAACAGTGAAAAAGTAAAATAAAAGTAGGCACAAAAACAAAAAGGAAATTATGCAAGACAGTGTCCACTGCGCCTAGTTGTAAGGGCCCAGCGCGCTCATAACCTTGTCACCTGAGTTGAATGGCTCGCTTTCAGTCGGCTGGGTTGGCTATCGGTTGGTTTTATGCACCCGCAATTAAATTGCTTCGATTAGCAATTTAGTACAGACACATATATACATATTTATAGTTGTAAATACATATATACATATACATATGTATATATTTTTACAATATTTATTTTTCACTGAAGTATCATATTTGCTAATTACACTCATAAAATCCTAATCGTCAAATAACAACTGTTTCTTCTTCTTGTACTTTACAGTTAAGTAATATATGAGCGGAATTGTCTGAAAAATGGCGTTTTGTTGATTTGTCGTTGTGGTCAAAACGGGGAAAAATGAAGGACCCAAAGGAACTTTTACAAGAAGTTAATATAGAAGTAAATAATAAAATGGAGAATTTGGAAGGCGATTCAAATGACAGGGGTGAGTGAATAGCGTTAAAATAGTGTAAGTCGATTTTTAAAAATATCTGAGAAAATTTGTTTTGAATTAATGAAAAGTAGTTAAAATCATCTTTTATGGTCTTAAATATTATAAAAACTGCATTCCAACAACATCAGCAAAAAATTTTACCACTAAAGCTTAAGTCGATTTTATACAATTTTGAGTTGAGTCTCAAAATCGTGATTTATGATCTTAAATATTATAATAACTGCTTTGCAACAACAACAGAAAAAAACTTTGCCGCTAAAGCTTAAGTCGATTTTATACAATTTTGAGTTAAACTAATTTTGGTTATTTTTTTTAGTGCTTGCACTTATATTTTATGATTTGTGGTAAGCGAATTGAGTTAAAATGACGTTAGTCGATTTTGAAAAATTCTGAAAAATTTCGATTGACTTAACTTGCAATATGCTAAATCGTATTTTATAACCTTAAATGTAAAAACACATAAACATTTTAAAACAACAAAATTATCAAGTGCCGAAGCTTAAGTCGATTTAATGAAATTTAGAGTTGAACTAATGTTTGTTGTTTTTGGCGCGTATGATTATATTTTAATACTAGAGATGGGTGAATGGAATTAAAAAAGCATAAGTCCATTTGTGAAAATTTCGAAAAGCCGATTTGAATTAATTTTGAGTGACTGAAATCGTATCTTATGGCCTTATGGCCTTCAAAATTATAGGTATTTTTTGAAAAATATTTTGCTGCAACAACAAACACACACTATTTTTTTATACAATAACAATAACAAATTTTGTAACGACTTTTGAAAAAGATCACTTTGGCCGACCACATTTTTCCGCTAGGGACATTATTCCATCAGTGTAAATCGAAATTTCGAAATTTCCAGAACGGAAGCGAGCGAACCATTGTTGTGCTACACGAGCTTAAAATCTCAACTTTCTAACACTATATGGTATGACACAATGTGATTGGTAGCACTGGAGATACATATACGACTGCAACGACATCCATTGACAAAATACGAAAAGACTTTTTCGACTACCAATATATAATATATATATTTATAGGACATCCAACATTTCCTATTGAGCATTACAAATTTGGTGGCAAATCTAGAACCTTAGTTGATGATCGTAAACCTTTAAATCTTAATTATTTGGCTTTTAACATCATAAAATGCTTAAGTCGATTTCTACAAATTCTGAAAAATTTGGTTTTAGACGACTAAACTAATATTTACTTGTATTGACTTTAAACATTTAGATTAAAGTGACTTACAACAACAACAAGTTAAAGTTCCACTACAGATATGCTTAAGTAGATTTAGCAAATTTTGTTGATATTGCCTCGCAGACTGATTGTTAATCCACCAAATCTCACCTCAAATATTTATATAAGGATTATATGATCTTACAGCAACAACAATAATTAAGAGCCGATAAATTTAACAGTCTGGCATAAATTGGTACCGGAAACAGGTTTCTGCCGTAACTCGCCTTAATTGCTTAAATCCGTTTAGAGCCTCTCGTTTGACCACTAGTTAATATGTAAATCAAAAGGTATTTAATACAAGGTAAGGAAAGTGAAGAGAGGAAAGTAATTAAACCCAAACGAGTGTAGCCAAAATATTAGTAAAAGGTTAAATCAGATCACTTCCGATGACAGGAAAAGGGCAAGCAAAAATTGTATTCTTATGAATATTTTACTCATTGTCGTTTAAGTAAATTTCCATTGTAAATGTGTAAGCACTTTTTTTGTGAATTAAATAAGTATTAATTACAATGAGTATATAAATATATTTATGTAAGTGAATAGTAAGCGATTTTGTGCTGTCTCACCGGAAGCCAGGCTCATTATTTAACTTAGTGATCCAGCAAATAATATTTTACGCTTATCGCCAATCATTTTTCTATGGGGAAATTCAGTATAGGAAATGTAAACATGATATACACAGCCAAGAATATATTAATATATAAAAGTACATATGTATATTAGGGTGATTCAAAAAAAATTTCTTTTTGTTTTCATTTGGTACTCTGAAAAATAAGTTCCTAGACACCTCTAAGGAAGCATCTCCAAGAATGAGTTCTTAATTGTAACGGGAACGTCCTCCCATTTACAATTTTCTATTTTTTCTTATTATCATTTAGAAAACTTTATATCTCGCTTCCAACTACTTGAAAAAATATCTTGTTCCTTAGATTTTGTAGGAAATTGTATGCTCTACAAAAAAGGTCTGTACGATTTTTTCGTAAACCCAACCGTTTAATAGATATTAACAGTTAAAGTTTGAACATTTTTGGAAAAAATTTTTATTTGTTTTGAATTTTATAACTCAATGAACTAAATTATTATGAATGATGAAACTCATAGGTTTTTGGAAGGCTTTCTGAGAGGTGCCTAAGAGCCTATTTTTCAGAGTACTAAACAAAAAAAAAATTTTTTTTTTGATTCACCCTAATCCGCATTAGTGTTTGACGATGAATATCTCGTATCTCATTCATAATGATTTTATTTCATTGAGTTAAATTAATACTCTTCTTTCGCATTACTAGGTGTTTTTGCCATTATTGTTGTAGTGTCCTTTGAGATGTTCCTAATCGACGCATTATTATATTTACAACTTCAATAGAAGCTTTATCACTAAAAATCGGCTTAAGTCTTCGAACATCTGTGTTAAAAAATGCTCTTCCTTGATTTCGGAGAAAACGTTTGATTTTACCACCTCATTATCCGAATCCATTCAAGCTACATAGGTAGTCGAGTAATTTGCTTTTGCGCTATCCTCACGTATATGATCTGAAATAAATGTGACTTTACGTAGTAGAACTCTGTCATATAATATTTTGTGAGCTTCGGATATTTTTCAAATACTCCTTCCAATTATTGACATTTGAGTAGGATAAAAAACTCGTTCTAAGTTTACTGTGATCCATAATATGTAACTTACCTTTTTAATTAAAAGTGCACAGCATATAAACCCTTGATCTAGAACTTTTCATAAATATATCGCAGAAATTTAAAACCAGTTATCTCTTTTTGAATCATCTACTTATTGAACTCCATTAAGGCAGACTAAGTTGTTGAAGTTTTGAACTCAGATATCGTCACTTGTTCGATCACTTAATTTCTAAGACTTTGAAAAGACCCAATCTAATCAATGATTTCATGGAGCTCCTTTGTAGACTCCTCATTGGTTGGAGTTTGTAGTTGTACCTTTCTGAACAGGTAGGCCGCACGACGCTTCTCCGCGTACGTTGCTTTCTCTGGATCAATGACTTAAAGATAGGTCATTCTGTGGCAGATGCACTATAAACAACCTTAGTTTTGGCATCTACTTTCAACTCCCGCTTGGTAGGGTTATTTATGTTACTTGGCTTGGCTGCCGCTGATATTGTTGCCTTGATATAACTGGATTAGCTGCAGCTCCAGTGCTAGTGGCAGTTTTTGGACCTAGACCAAGCTTAGCGCCCGCCTTTGTGCTAGTTGCCTTAGTTCTCGAAGAGCGCTGTATTCTTTTTAGCTTTTTTCGTGAGAGGCGGACTCTTCTGGTGTTGCATAATTTTTGATTTAGCCCATATTTTGGACAACGAGTATAGGGAATGGCAGGTCCGCATTTGCATAGTCCCCATTAAGCTAATAAGACTATTACACGTCAGGCATCTGTAAGTTCCGTTCGAGGCTGTGCTATTTAAGCGTTACAGCCAGCCTGATCTTTAACATAAGTCTACTACCTACCATAGCAAGACTACCAGGATGTCATGAAACGTATTATTGCTGGCGATGAGTCTCGGATCAACGCTTATGAGCTGGAAACAGACGATATCATGGCGAAGCCGAAAAAACCTCGTCAAAATAAGTAAAAAATCAAAGATATGTTATCAGTTTTCTTCGATTTTCGACTTGTGGTGTACTTCGAATTCCTTCCGACCGGCCAAATTGTCAACGAGGAATACTATTTAAGTGTTATGCGTCGTTTGCGCGAAGCTGTTCGTAAAAAGATGGCGGAATTATGAGCCGACAACTATTGGTTTTTGAACCACGATCAAGCATCCGGGTTATTAACGCCCATGAGACATCGCGGCGTTTATTGAACTTTGCTAATAATAAAAAGGATCAAATTACCCTGTATAGTAAACAGAAAATTCCATTTGTTTTCGCATGCGATTTCGGCGCGACACTGCTTATCACAAAAGTGACAGTAATTTATCTCCTTTTGTTTGACAATCAACTCCCACTAAAGCTACGTAAATACAGATTTCGCCACACCCATGTTTCCTGTGGTATTTATACTTATTTATTGATAATATTATCTATTGATTCCTAAAAAAAAGTATTGAGTATTTATTTACGGTTTGTTTGCCTGAAGATTTCGGTGTTTACTTTCATAAAAAAATATATATAGTATAGTTAAAATATAAATATATTTATTTATAATATATATACTACTATATAATCCGACTGTGAGTTGCTCGCGTCTCGACAAGTGGTTGAACAACAAAAGAATCAGTGTGCGCCTTCATAGACGAGGTGGCACTGCGATAACCCCGAGCAGCAACCGGACAATGATTATCGTATTTTCACCATAGACAAGTGTGCTGTGGTTGCTGTATGTGGGCGCGAAAGCTAGCGCCCAGTAGAGCTGTGGTGCAAGGGCGCCTCGGTTGTAGGCCGCAATCGTATAATAATCTGGAATGTGTGGGTGTGTGACATGCAAAATATTCATTTCTATTTATTAATCTAGACTATACACATTATTTAGCAATAATATTGATTGCTATAAAACGGTACAGTAATGAATTCTAATAGACAACAAAATAGCGATTTGTTGTTTGTGTATTTATAGGCGATGAGGCGTTCGTTTAGCGCGAGCAACGCTCATTAATAGATCAATCAGGAAAACCTTCAATAGCGATTGAGACGTATTTCATTAAATTTTTATACCCTGAATAGGGTATATTAAGTTTGCTATGAAGTTTGTGACACCTGGCAGGATACATCAAACCTATAAA